TTTTTGGAAATATAAAATAGTGATCTACTGAAAAAAAAAAGCTTGTTAGTAGGATTGTAATAAAAAAATAATATTAACAAATAAATAGCATATAGTTATTGTAAAAACAAATTACTTTGACATATAATATTATTAATAAATTAAATCTTGACTAATAACAAAAACTATATCCAAGGGCACTTGTACGAATATTAATTGCTATACTTGCTACAAATATCAAAAGATGGAAACAAATTATATATGAAAAGGAAGAAAAATTTGTTGTAATCATCGTAGAAGTTTAGAATTTAGCATATTAATTACTATATAAGTCAAATTCTACTATAGTTTTTCAATATTATTAGATATTGTTTCTATAATAGATCATAAATACCTTCTAATTCATTACATAATTGGTCGTGAAATAAAATACTAAAAATAACTCATTGAGATATGCTTTATTCTCACATTATAAATATAAGACCTTAGGCCAAGACACAGAAATTAAATATTTTTTCCTCCATTTTCATAAATATATATATAAGAAAAAACATTACTACTTGTTCTATATTTTCCAGAAATTAAACATGGCCAAATCCTCGCTATCTTTTTTGGCTATAATAATGGTTATCTGCCTTTGTTTCGTCTCAGGTACATGATATCTAATTCATTATTGTTTATTTGATCATACAAGTATAGGGAAATGCTGCAATTCCATTACGAAACCATTCTCTCGTGATTTGTAACCGTTAGATCATCATGTAACGGTTACAAACCCTGACGGAATGGTTCTATAACTGTAGCATCTCCTGTAAGTATAATGCTAAACATAAGTTTCAACTATTTTTATCGTGTCATTAGTGTCGTTAATCGTGTTTTTAATTATTTTTTTTGCAGGTTCACTGGGTTGTGAGGACCACATACATCATATTCACTGTGACCCGACGAACGATCACTCGTGCTTCTACAGCTGCTCGGCCAGACATAAGACTACTAATGTCTCAAGATGTTACTATGGTCCTCGGGGTAGAAATGGAATAAACACTAATTGTGTTTGCTACTATGATTGTAATGAATGAAAATTAGAGAGATAAATAAATTATTGAAATTATTGAAATAGAAATAAAATCACGTTTGAATTATTATTTTTATTTTTGTTGTTGATGTTATTGTTATTAGTGGTGTGTGTGATGTGAAGTTCTATATATCCAAAAAGAATACAAAAATCAAAATACAATTTTATGATAAAATCAATATTGCATAAAAGAATATCATGTAGAAAAAGTAGATATATAAATATAAATTAATTTGTTACTTTTTTATATTTCTATTCGGTCTTTTTATTTATTTTTAACATATCTATAAATTTACTACATACCATATTTAATATGGTATATATATCGTGAAAAAAGACAATTAATTTAATATATTTTACATCAAAATTGAAAGAAAAATGAATTTCTATGTAAGATAGTTTTGAGTGAATTATGGACTAAATAACATTTTTAATGTAAACACTACTTCCCATATGAAATTATTGATAATTAACCACCCAAAAAAAAAAAAAAGTAAAAGTTCATGATAAACAGTAATTGCACCAAAATATCAAAAATTTTGACTGCTCTTGGCAAAAAACATATCGATTTTAACATTGTTACCCTTCAAGGGGGACGCTTTCTGCTTCTTCCTCTGCCGAACAGTTCTCATTCGATCATTTTCGACAAACCTAGCACAGAGTTAAATAAAGTTGAAAAAGTCATAAGCTTTAATACTGAAATGAGGACACTTATAAGCATACAAGTTTACCTTTGCTTGGGCTTCAAAACCGTGCTAGAGTTACTCGACTCCTCAACCTGTAGCCTCTCAGCAAGATGGAAATCAAAATGCTCTTGCCTTTCCTCAACAAAACTAGGCGGCATTTCAATCCCACAAACCGAGCACTGATAATCATGCAACCAAAAAACGGATTCTATCTGATTTTTTTCATCACCAGCACTCGTCTGCCAAACTGAGCCACTTTCTGACAGACCAGAAGATGAATTTACTTCCACCTGTATATCGAGAAAACATTCAAAGTCTTGGACAATTTGAACTACTTTTGACCTTAATAACAAACAAAAAATAATAATAGTAAGCTGTACGTTTTCTGACAAATTGTCGACCGGGAGATGAAGATGTCCTCTACTTTCAGCTTCATTGTGAGAATGCCACGTGTGAGAGTGATCGAGATCTGGCAATTGATAAGTCTCCATAAAATCAGTTGATTCACATGTCTCAAGTGTGTCGTTAATGAAGTTGGTCTCTCTGGGAATGGCTAAAGCATCGTTGTTAATGTTAGACTCTGAAAGTGCTTCTTCATCTTCGTGCCCTCTCAGTGAGGCATTTTCTGTGACTATGAAGTTGTGAAGTGTCTTTTGTTTGGGGTCAAGTAAAGCACCTTCGCTGCCTTCACTCAAGTGTGACATTCTGAGTCCTAATATATACTCAAAAGAAAGAGCGAACAGTTTAAATAGTTCCGAACCTCAGGTCCACTATTTATCATACACATCAGATCACATAATGCTTGGAGGAATTAAATAAGAGCCCATCAATCACAGAGGTGCTCAAAATCATGAACAACGATGAACAGAGAAAATTTTCACATGACGATGGATCATTAAAATAAAAGAATAAGAAAATGAGTAGTAGTTGTCCTACCCATCAGTCTAAGGGAAACTGGGAGTTCGGCCTTAAGAAGCTTCATGGCATGTCTCATAATATCCTCACTTGAGCAAATATAATGTGGTAGAGTCACAGCCCGGGTTCGTACCTAAGAGTATGATTTTTGGTATATATTAATCAGGCCATAAAATCTCTAACCCCGAAACACAATCGATGAACAGAGAGAGTGAAGCATCATACGAAAAGGGCAAGTAATCAAGAATTTGCAAAGCACAGCTAATAGATGTACAAAGGAATCAAAGGGACCTCGAGAGCCACAATATGGTATAAAACACTTTCGCAAAACATGTAAAAAAGGATCACGATTGGCGTCCAAAGATGAAAACTTGAAAGAGAGAGGAAATGAACTAGGAACAATAGTATTTGTAAACGCACAAGAGAAAGCGATCATAATCCAAAAAGTCGAAAACTTGTGGCAGTGCACCAAACTTACCTCAAAAGACGATGTCTTCAACTTTAACGTCAAAGTTCTTCCACGAAGGCCATGTTTCTCCAAGTCAGAGGAAAGATTTTCTGAAAGATCCACTGCAAAAGATTTTGTGAAAAGAAAATTATTTTGCAGTGCGTTTGAATAATTGTCAAAGAGCGCCAGAACCTGTTAGCTAAAGGCCTTCAACAACTGAACTCATGTTTTATATATGTCGCTCGTCTCGGAAATATAAAATAATTAAAGTGATGAGCAACATAACACAGCTACAGCTAACATGATCCAATGAGTAAAAGGTAGTCTGAACAATCTTATCAAGCTCCTCGAAACTAATTATTTAGCTATGACAGTGCAGCAGGACAAGAATTTGGAATAAATAAACCTGCAAACTCAGAAAAACCAGAAGCAAATACAAAAGGGTGAGACATATGACCACAACAAGAAAATAGGATCATCAATCAATAAGGGTTCTGATCTTAGAGTGCCAACAACTTTGTGTCTGAGATTCTTGTACATAGGCTAGATTATAAGTCGGATTTTCTGAAACTTCTTGAAGCAATATCCAATGATTTAAGATTAACTATGCGCTTCATAGAAAACTTGTCTGCTTAACTTTATGAAATGAACTACCGCAAATAGACAGAGGAGTTTCTAAGAGAGGAGACGAGTAGTAGGACAACTATAATATTGAGAAGCATACGAAAAATATGATAAGATCTTTTATTTATTACCTAATTTTTTATTAATTGTTGCCTCGTCATCAGTAGGTGAAAATGTTCTCTCGTTGCTCATGCTTTTTCTCTGGGTCACTTGAGGTGTATCAGTCCTTCCAATACCCAAGCCAACAGATAAGAAAAAATCTGCAAAACCAGAAAAATAAAGTAACAATATATTTCCAGTATGATTCAGATAACCAAATATGAATAAGTATCATAGCTCTTTGGAACCAAGTATGAAACGTGCAAACTCTCAAGCTTATAAGACTAGACTATAGAATCGTTCAGACAATATTAAGGTGGGTTCTTAGCATATAACAGTTTTAAAATTCCCAGGTTCTGAGAGAAATGTGAGTCCCATTCAAGATTAATGAACAAGAGAACTAACTATTTGAGCTACAAACCTGCAGATGTTCGAGAAAAGAGTGCACATATAAAGCTACTTTTCTGGAGCATTTCTTCGCATGTAGTAATTCCAAGAACTCCCTTCAAAATATTTTCAGTGACCCTACCAATGCCCCCAATCTACAAGATGATCTTTTGGAAATAAGGTTACAAAATACAAAAAATTAAAACAAGCATCTTGACCATATAAATGAAAAGGCCACACAAAAATGTAAATAAGCATTTAGATTATAACCTTCCTTATGGGAAGTGAAGATATAAATGTCATGACCGCCATACGCTCGTTTGGCAGCACGAACTGGCCATTTGGCTTATTAATGTCTGAGCAAACCTTACCAAAAGGAATAGGAAACGGATTTCAGTTCATCTTGAGGATGCAATTTGCAAAAGAGAAACAAATTAGTTATTTTTAATTTCAATAACTAGGCTAAACCTCAGGTAGTTTTTGTGATGAAAACATGCATTGTAGTATGTGTGCTATATATAACTGGTAAAAAACATAATAACTACTTGAGCATGTGCATGACAACCTTTGCAAGTAAGCGATTAGGCGCTACCCCAGCACTACATGTGAGTCCACCAGTCTCCTTGGACACACCTTCTCTGAGCTCTTCAGCCACCTTAGGAAGATTAACGTCAATAATAAATGCTCATTTGTCTCTTTGTAAGACAATAAGAAGGAAAGCTACAGAATGAAAATGAACTAACATTATAAAGAATGCCTACAGGATCAGATAAATTTCTGAACATTTCATAGTTCACACACATACTTGTCCAGCTGTCATTCCCTTGTCATTGCAATAGTTAGTTATGTCTAGGTATGCCTCATCCAAACTTGCAGCCAAAAAGCTGGGGTCGTATTTCTGGAAAACTAAATGCAGACAAGTGCATCAGATAATTCTGCAAAAGGTACAATATATAATACATCCACATACTACAAAGTCCGTATAAAAGCGTAATTCGAAACCTTTTCTTGTTAAACCACTATAATAGGTGTACTTCTTAAAGTCCACTGGAACAAAAATGAGTTCAGGACACAATTTACGTGCAATGAATCCAGGCATTGCAGCTCTCACCCCGAATTTTCGTGCCTGCATAGAAATGTTACACATCGTCAAAGACAAGCAACAGACAAAGCACATGATAACACATCAAAATATAGCAATATAATACTCGAATGATTGATCATTAATCTCACAACCAAACATACCAACCTCGTAATTAGCTGTTGAGATCATAGACATGCTACCAACAGCCATTGGCTTGCCTTTTAGGGAAGGATTACAAAGTGTTTCAACAGCAGCATAGAAAGCATCCATATCCACATGGAGCCAAATCCTTGACAGGTCACGTGTGGCTTCTAGTTCCACAATCCTTTTATCAGCAATCTGTAAATGACATGTGAATGTCAACTAGAGAATATCTAAATGCGGGAAGACATAAAAAAGGCCGCCTTTTACTTCAATATTTTGAAACTTTTAATTCCTTCCTTTCTTGGGACCACCACATTTCAAGAGCTGAACGATCATGATACCCAGATGAAATATCAATCTCGGCACCCACTATAAAACTCTAAACTCAGGCTCAACTTTAATTACACATCACCAAAGACAAGCATATTAAGGCAGAATGCAGATAAGTATATACTTCAACATAAATATAGTAAAAAACTTGTGCTACCCTGTCTCTAATTATTTCCCACTTCCAACCGATGTATACCTTCTGATGATGTGATATGTCCATGGCTGAAAGCTTAGCAAGCTGCACACGCATAGTATCGATTTTCAGCTTCATGTAAGCTTCTTTCTTTTCCTCATTTTCGAAATACTTGGATCCTTTACTCATCTCATACACTATCCTCTGCACCTTCTCCTTGTCCACCCCTTCCATTCCTAGTTGAAGAAAAAACAAAGGGGCACACCAGAAACAACTATGAAGTACTAATATTACATATTCTGAAACAAAAGTAGAACAAGATTAAAAACCCACATATGACATAACTCGAGTGGAGTGAAACTAACAGTGATAATCGAGCTTCCATGGAAACAAACCTGCTTTGGCGGTTGTGTAAACAGTGTTGTATGATTGCCATGGCCGAGCAGAATCGTTCGCGGAAATTGACTTCTCGTCTTTCTCCATTTCGCTTAGTCTGATTCACTTTTTCTCGAAGATGAAAAAATCAGAAATCGAACAGAGTGAAGTTTGAAATTCGATCGAGTGAATTGAAATCAAGGAGATTATGAATTTAGGGCGCGGCAAAAAAGGGGGAAATGCATCAATTTAGGGCGCGGACTATATCGACATTTGAGATTTTGACGGAGAAGGGCTTCGTGTCTGTGAGAATAACAGATTAGTAGACTAATTGTGTTGAAATTGCAAACTAGGACACACAAATGCAACAATTGGCATGCATGCCTTGGAAGCATTGATGCTTAAATGTAAAATAAATATAATCTCATAGCTAGCTTGTTTATGAGTTAATTTACTCATTTTTATCTTAACTCAAAATTTAATTCAACTTTAACTTAACCGTACTATCTTTAATATTATTCATATAATTAAATAATACAAATTAATCATTCTTACACATCACATCAATTTTAATTCACTATTCATCTACTCACATAATTTTAACTACATATCATTTTTAATCATTTATCTTCTACTTTTACATTAAATTAATTTTAATATTTTATTTTAAATATTATTTTAATACATTCTTTAAATTCTACTAACAATTAACTATACCACCTTTTTCAAAATTAATTATGGTTAACCAAAATAACTCATTTTGAACAAATTATTTCATAAACAATCAAACCCTTATATTTTTTGTTATACTATTCGTGACCCGTACAAGAAAATATTTTATTGGAATGTTTTGACTTTAGAGTATGTTTGTTTATGAAAATTTTTTAAAAAAATTCCAACATTTTAACTCAATTACTTTTTTTTAACTCAACTTTAACTCATCGTATTATAATCATTATTATCAATATGATTAAATAACATGAATCAATCATTTATACAGATTACCTCAACCTTAATTCACTATTCATCCACTCACATAATTTAAAATAATCATCACATCAAATCATTTTTCTCTTACTTTTACATCAAA